ATCTATCTATCTATCTATCTATCTATCTATCTATCTATCTATCTATCTATCTATCTATCTATCTGATTGTCATTGCACTCAAAGTGCAATATCCTTCTGGATGAGTCCACTTAGATCAGCATTGGCTTTTTCAAGGACTGATAGGAGGGGCAAGAAAGAAACGTCAGAGTGAGGAGAATCTCTCTCTTTTTCCCCCCCATTGCTTTTGTGGAGAGTTTTGCATTTGTTCCAGCCATTTGCAGCTGTTGTCCTGCCTGGAAGAAAAGACAGTGCCAGAAAGCGGGACATTCCCTCCACGCCTGAAGGAAAGGAAAGAAACCAACCCTCTGCAGCTGTGACCAGCAGCCAAACTCTTCAGGCATTTATTCCAAACTGCCTCCACTTTGCAGCTGGTGTCAGGGGAGGGCTGGGAGCATGGTTAGGAGATGATGACATGGCATTTCCCCCAATTTACCTCCTGAGAAGTACTATTAGAAACATCCCTTCTCCCCCCCCCCATCTGTTCTCCCTCTGTATGTTCTGGAACATCTGTTACAGATCAGGGAAAGCCCATCTGCTGTGTTTCCAGGCCAGAGAACAGCAGGGTGGGCAGCCATTGGAATGGGAGAGTGGCAGGTCGCAGGGAGACGGCTTAATCACCAAACTTTCCCCAGTAACCCAGCCTTCCTCTTGCAAGAACATAAGACCAGCCCCTGCTGGTTCAATGCAGGACTTTGTTCCTATGGAGGGGCCCGCAGATGGGGCCTCTGGAGTGCTTGCAGATAGTAAATGGAGGCGCTTTTCTTTCTCTGATCTTCGTTCCCTCAATCCAGGAGCAGGGGTGCGAATTCAACTGGTATAACAAACCGGTTCATCTAGTTTAATGAAAGCTGGTATATCTAGTTTCATGAAAAGAAGGACTAGGGGAGACATGATAGCGGTCTTCCAATATCTCACAGGCTTCCACAAAGAAGAGGGAGTCAAGCTATTCTCCAAAGCCCCTGAGGGCAGGACAAGAAGCAACGGATGGAAACTAACCAAGGAGAGAAGCAACTTAGAACTAAGGAGAAATTTCCTGACAGAACAACTTGCCTCCAGAAGTTGTGAATGCTCCAACACTGGAAGCTTTTAAGAAGAAGATGGATAACCATTTGTCTGAAGTGGTGTAGGGTTTCCTGCCTAGGCAGGGGGTTGGACTAGAAGACCTCCAAGGTTCCTTCGGACTCTGTTATTCTATTCTATTTTGTTGTATACTGTGTCTTCTTTCTGGTTTTTGCACCCAGTTGATGGATACCTTCTTTTCTCTTCCCTTGTTCCCATTGCCCTTTCTGTTTTCCTCCCTTCTAGATGTTGTGGACGACCCTTCTCTTGCTGTGTCAAGTCAGTATCCCGCAGTGGTGGCTCCACCTCACCCTTCAGGCCGCAACCTTCCCATCTCTCCGGCTCTTGGTTCCTCGCTCAATGACAAAGCCGACGGTACCTCGAACCTCACCCAGGCAGGTGAGTAGCTTGCAAATCAGAGAGCCCGTGCCTCTAAATTTTCTTCCACTATCACCAGTTACCAGAAAAACTTAAGTCACATGTTCCTAAATTCCCCTCTCAACTTCCTTTTTCTATGCTTCTTTCCTCGTAAGATCTCGAAGGCGAAGTGAAATCTGGCCAGCCAATTGCAAAGGATGATAACAGCAACACCTCCATATTGATTGGCTGCTTGGTGGTCATCATCCTCCTCCTCCTGGTTGTCATATTTCTCATTCTCTGGCGTCAGTATTGGCAAAAGATTTTAGGAAAGGTAAGACAGGTGGACTCCAGGAAAATTTTGCATCTGTTTGAAAGAAATTAAGAGTGTCCCGCCCTCCTCCCTCAGCCGTGGTCTGTTGGCTAAAGTGGAGTTCCCGTCTGTTACTTCGTAATAGGAGAGGGATAATTGATTTATAGAGAAATCCACCCGGTCTTCTACCACGGTACAAGGATCAAGAAAAGATGGTCACTCTGTAGTAGAACTTTTTATTTAAAAGAAATCAGGTTAGCTTCTGATCTCTCCGGTTTCAGGATTCCTTCAGGATTGGGCATCACTTGCTAAAAATCCAGGAACAAACAACAGATATCCATAGTCAGTCAAGAGAAACATTGCAGAACTACAAGGATAAGAGTCAGAATTACACAAACCAGCTTTCTAACTTATCTTCTGTTCCATCAGTGTCTCATTCATCCAGGTCAGGGTTGTCCCAAATGTGTTTTTTCAAGAGGCAACTGGACTTTCTGGTTTTTTCTTTGAAGACATTTCACTTCTCATCCAAGAAGCTTCTTCAGCTCTGACTAGAGGGTGGATCCTTCCATTCCTCACCATTCAGTCAGAGCTGAAGAAGCTTCTTGGATGAGAAGTGAAACGTCTTCAAAGAAAAACAAGGAAGTCCAGCTGCCTCCCGAAAAACCACCTGTGCTCCATCAGTGCTACCCTCAGGTCTTGCAGCTTTCATCAGAATAATGAAATTAAAGTCGCACCATCACGCTGTAAGCTCCACTCCTGTGTGTACAATTTTGTGAAGTCTAGAAAAGGGGTGGAGTTTGTGTTGTGATGTGATGCTGTAAATATTCTATGCCAGAGGTCTCCAAACTTGGCAACCTTAAGACTAGTGGGATTCTGGGAGTTGAAGTCCACAAGCCTTAAAATTGTCAAATTTGGAAATTCCTGCTCTATGTTCATGTTTACTACTGCTATCCAACATCCTGGAAGCTGTGGGGCAACATTTTTAGATTCTGGACCCAAGATAAAATAACATTTAATTAAAATGACATCTGGTAACATTTAATTAAATTGACATCTCTCGACCTCAAGAGCCCTCAGCAGAAGCTTCTGAGGTGTCCTAGGAAGCTGGAATAACCATCTAAAGCAGTGGTTGCCAACTGGTGGGTCGCAGCCCACTGGTGGTCCACAAGAGAATTTTGGTGGTCCGCAGAGAAATGTCAACCCCAGAGCACTCTCCAAAGCAATTAATCCAGGCTGCACGGCAACACAAGGCTGCGCTGCCCACATGGCCCACGGGAACCCTCTCCGCCCACTCACTCCTTATCTGGCAAACTTGCCTGCTAAGTTGCTGTTTTTCCCTTTTTTCCCCTGACCATCAGCTGTTCTGCTGTGCTGGGAGATTTAGATAAGCTAGAAAGCAGGAAACCATTGGATTCCTTGCTTTCTAGCTAATCTTTAGATCTTCGGCAGAGCCAAACCTTCCTTAGGACTGAAGCTTCTATTATTCAGTACAGGTAGCTGATGGCAGAAAGATAGATCTCTGAGTGAATCTGTGATTCTGTGAGCAACTCAATCTGCCTGCCTGTTTGGCCTGATTTGGGGTAAACGTTGCTCTTTTTTTATAAAAAAAAATCAATATTTACATAAACATTTATAATATTTACATACAAGCCATGCCGAGCCAGTCACATGATCACCAAGCCACGCCCACATATTAGGCCATGCCCACAGAACCGGTTGTTAAGAAATTTGAATCCCTCCCCTGCCTCTGTGTGTGTGTGTATGTGTGTGTGTGTGTGAGAGAGAGAGAGAGAGAGAGAGAGAGGTTAGATCAGATCTCTCTCTCTCTCTCTCTCTCTCTCTCCCCCCCCACCCCCCTCACCAACAAGACAGCAAGCCACTCTCAGTCAAAATTCATATTAGTGGTCCCCGGGATTTAAAATTATGAGTTTGGTGGTCCCTGAGGTCCAAAAGGTTGGCGACTCCTGATCTAAAGTGTAATGAGAATGAAGAAAATGCTAGATATGGGGGTTTCCCTTCTTTTTGAGAACAATTTCAGTAGAATAAGTGTCTATAAGAGATTCTCAATCGTCCAGGTCATGGCGAAAGACATTTTCCCAAAAGGCAAGTGGACTTTCTGGTTTTCTTTTCCTTGAAAATGTTTCACTTCTCGTCCAAGAAGCTTCTTCAGTTCTTCTTGGATGAGAAGCAAAACTTTTTCAAGTTAAAAAAAAAAATCAAGAAAGTTCGCTTGCTTTTTGGAAAAGCAGCTTTGGTATTTGGTAGAAGAAATGTTTTTCAGAGGTTGGAAATGAAAAGTCTGCCATCTCTACCTTAACAACCTTCACTGTTTCTCAACAACCTTGCGGTATGTAGGCTCAACGCCGCATCTCTGATGATGACCTCACTGTCCACCTCTCTGCACCGAACGACACGATTGTCATCAACAACACAATGAGCTCCAACAGACACTCCAACCGATACGAACGCATCCTTTCGGGTGAAACGGAATACCAGGAACCCAACAGGGCACGCATGAAACTCCCAGATCTTCCTCACAGTGCTGAGAATTCTGGTGAGAGGCTGTTGGTAAAATTGTTTTATTTATAACTAGCTCTATACTCATGCTTTGCTACGAAACTATGTGGTCGGGCTTAGATTTTGGGGAGGAAAATAAGGGGAAAAATTCTGCCTCTGCCTACCAGCATCCATCAGTATTCATCTGGCTAGTGTCCTATCAGTGTGTGAAAAGAGCTGAGGGCTGTTTGGAAACTGAAACAGTATTTGCTGGGTGAGCAAGAAGGAGACAGCAAAGAGCCGGGCGTGGCTTAGCTCAACTGTTCTGTACTAAAGCTGATTGCTGCTGTGAAACTAAAACTGAAACTCCTCTGCTTGTGTTTTGCATTTGAAAGAGATTTCTTTCCAGGTGGGGAGTAGAACTCCTTAGCATAAGAGCGTGTTAATAATAATATAGGAAATACTAATGCTCTGATGGTCATTTCAAAAAATCCTTTCTTAGTGAGCATCTAGAAGCCAAGAGGAACATATGTGCCAAATTTCAAGTTTTACGGTTTTACGGTTCTGGAGATTTTGTGATGATGCATGAGTGTTTTTTCGCTTTTATAGAGAGAGATTATTTTGTTTAAAGTGGAATATTGCAGGCACATTCTGCCCACAGCCTGGAGTTTGAGTCTGACAGGGCTCAAGGGTTGGCTCAGCTTTCCATCCTTGCAAGGTTGGTAAAATGAGGTTGTTGGGAGCAAGATCCAAATAATGCTTCTACATTGTAAATTGCCTAGAGAGTGTTGTAAGGCACTGTGCAATGGGATATATAAGCCTAAATGCTATTGCTGTTTTGTTTATTAAAACATCTTACCTATTAAATTATTGGGAAAAGTGAGTGAAAACAAAGAGACCAGAAAGTGAAGCAGCCAAGGTGATAGGGAGGAAGAAGAGAAATCCTTTGAATATTTGTTAGGAATGCCATGGTTTATTATCTATATAGGTGTGAATTTAGTTAGCATTATAGTGTATCCATTCTGACCCACTGTGGCTTTTGAGAAAAAAGCCAACAATGAAAACATAATGTAATGTTACCCTAATATAACACTGTAAAAGAATAAAATGTCCATAGTAAATAGTATGAACCAAATAAAATGTCCGTGGAGATGATGCAACAGTCATAAGTGTGAAAAACGCTGATCAGATGCTTTTTCCCCAATGCTGTTGTAACTTTTAGCAGTCACTAAACAAATCATTGTAAATGGAGGACTACCCGTATATCCCTTTTAATTAAGACTTAGTTGGTTTCTTTTGTATCTCCAATAGAACAGCTTTTTCATACCATTTTTGTAGCCTGACGTTTTTTAAATCCATTTTCAATCTCAATCTAGTCAGGTAAAACGTGTTCTTCCTTCATGACATTTTTTAAGCACAGCCTATTCTAAACGTTGTTTCTCCTTTAATTGTAATATTTAATTCCTTTTGGTTTCCTCTAGTGTTCCAACTTCAAAGTTTCATTTTATCAAGTTTTTTGTAAAAAAGAGAATTCAAAACAAACCCAATCAACCAACCAATCAACGCATTTATCATGACAAGGATTCTTATAATTAATTCCAAAACCTTATTTCAAATCCATCTGAACCATTAATAGGTTTGTAATTTCTCAAAATCAAAGTTCTCATCACCTTTTTGGTATTTATGTCAAAAGAATTTAAAAAAAAGATCTTAAGCTTCTATTAAACATAAACTTCTCTCGTTAATAAGCATTGAAGGAGACTCGCTCAGTGTTGTAAAACATGTAGATTCAAAGGTTACTGTACTTAATAGGTGAAAAGCAGTTCACATTTTCCAAAATTGATTAGAAAAGAAGTATTCAAATCCAGTGTTCTTTTGATGGTGTTGAAGATGATTTAAACAAGATGGCTATTTCCTCATTTCCCAGAGTGCTAAACCTATGGAAACCACCATCTTGTGGTCTCCATGCGAGGAGCAGTTGCAAAGAGTTCTTATGGGTGATCTCAAGTCCTCTCCCTGTCTGGAGAGAAATTACAAAGAGCTGATCAGCTCCACTTTTAATGGAGCCATCTTCAGTTCACCATTTCTTCCCTCAAAATCCCTATTGTCGTGCATTTAGTGTGTGTGTTCTGTGTGTTTGTATTTCCTTGCTTGTATCAAAAATATCAAAAGTAGGCTTTTGCTATAAACTGCAATCTGTGAATTGCGAAAGGAAAAAAAAAAGGAAGCAGTCCGTTAATTGGGATGTTTTGTTGGTGGCTGGTTTCATTTAAAAAGGTGGTTTAAATTTCTAGCAAAATCGAGTTATAACCTGCTCCTAAATTATGCTGATTTATGGCCTGTTTTTTTCAATACTTTTTGTTTTTAATGTAAAAGAAACTGCAAATGGAGAACTAGCCCTCCAGATTTCTTCCTGATGTGCTTAGTTTCTAAATGCAAGGAGGTATCTTTTTGTATCTTTTTTTTCTTGAAAGAAAACAGTAACACAATGCCACCTATTGTCTGAAATGGAAAAATATCTCAGGAAATTTTTTTAAAAAAAATTCTTTGAAGCAAGTAAGTTTACTTACATTTGAATAGGGAAAGCAGGTAAGGGAAAGTAAAAGAGAAAATTAAGAATGACAGGTAATCTTCGACTTACAACTAGTTGTTTAGTAACTCCTCATTACGACGATGTTGGAAAAAGTGCTTGCATTTAAGGTTGGTTTTTGCATTTATGACTGTCGCATTACTCTCATGGTGACACAATTGTAACACAAGTGCTTGGCAGCTGGCTCACTTTTACAACCGACTGCAGAGTCCTGTGATCATATGATTGCAATTCTTGGATTAATTGGTCCACAGTGTAATACATGTATTTATTTAATGACCGTTGTAAAAATGGTCGTAAAATCAGGTTCTTCTTGACTCATGACTGCAGCAATTTAGGGAAATTCCAGTCCCAATAGCGGTCAAGGACTAGCTGTAGAAGATCAAACCCTGACACATTTCATAAAAAAGTTGTTGGTTTGTTTTTTTGCTCCATTTCATATTGTATTTCCCAGCCCAAAACATGAGGCCTTCTCCAGGGATGGGCTTTAAATATTTTAGCAGCAGGTTGCTGGGTGGGTGTGTCCATGGTGGGCGTGTCCATGGTGGGCGTGGCCTAGTCGGCCTCCTGCACCACGGTGAGGGGCATTTTTGCCTTCCCTGGGCTCCAGAGGCTTTCCTCAAGGCTCCGCGACGGGAAAAACAGTCTCCCCGGGCTCCGGAGGCTCTCTGGAAGCCGGAAATGGGCCCATTTCCGGCCTTCCCGAACTTCTGTGAGGCCCGTTTTTCTCCCTCCCTGACCCTCCCTACAAGTGCCTTACACTTGCATCCAAAACAGGCCATGTGGGGACTCCTGGGAGGGGAGGGATGGAGTCGGTGGGGCCTGCCAGGAGTGGAATTTGGGGGTTCTCCAAACTGCACAGAATCTTTACTAGGGGCTCTCCTGAACCCCTGCGAACCCCCAGCAGTTCTCCCTTCCCCGATTTGGTAGTTATTCTCATGATTTAGGTAGATGGTGATATGATCCACCTCGTAAAGCTTGTGGGTCCTACTCTTTCATGCTACAGAAGATTTCACTTGATGCTTTATATGAGGAAGAGAGCACAGATGAATCCAGCAGATAATTTCTCCAAAATATTTCTCCTTAGCCTCATGCAGGTTATTCTGTTTCTTGTGAGGGAACTTTCAGTCATTTCTTTCTGGAATCTAGAGCCTGACAAGAAACGGTTGCAGTATTTCACATGATATGAAGAAGGTGTTAATTCATTCTCCTGGAAGTCCTTGAGTCATTTTATGGTTTGGAAGATGGAGGAAGAGTGGGGAAGAAAGTGCAACAGGAATGTAAGTTCTGGGATAGGTTTCCTCAGCTTGGCGGCCTCTAGATGTTTTTGACCAGAATGTCCATTATCCTGAGGTGGAGCAATGGGGATTGTTAGCTTGATATATCGAGACAGAGTCAGATTGAGGAAGGCCAGCCTTGATTGATTCCTTTGAAGAAGACAGAAGCAGTGTGATGGGGTGTGCAGCTAGAGAAGGAGTGGTGGAATCGCAGCAATCACACAATAGTTTCCCATGGAGTTGGTGACCCATTCCAGAAAGAGACCTAAAATAAAAGACTCCTCAAACCTGAACTGGATAGGGCAGTGTTGTTGAACCTTTTCGGCACTGAGTGCCGAAATGGAAGTGCGCGCATGCGCGGGAGCAGCACCAGAAACTGGAAAAGCAGCTCCCGGCGTGTATGTGCGCACCAGAAAACTGAGCTTCTCATTTCTGGCATGCTTACCGGCCACCTGGTTTTTCAGTTTCTGGCACTCATGCGCATGCAAAGACCATTTGGCCAGCATGCATTTAGACTTATATACCAGAAGGGCAGTGGGCAGTGCCCGGAGAGATGGCACTGCGTGCCACTTCCATCATGTATGCCATAGGTTCGCCATTATGGGGATAGGGGAAGGAGGAAAAAGTTCAGGGTTACCAAACCGCGTAGAACAGGGTGTTCAACTTTGGCAACTTGTGGACTGGCTGAGGAATTCTGGGAGTTGAAGTCCACAAGTCTTAAAGTCGCTAAGGTTGGACACCTCTGCCCTATAATCTCCCAGATCTAGGTTAGAAAGTAACAGATAATCCTTGGCTTATGACCACAGTTAGGGCCAGAACTTCTTTTGCTAAGCAAGAAGGTTGTTAAGGTAGTTGTGCCCAATTTTACGAGCTTTTTTTGCCACTGCTATTAAGCAACAGTGGCAAAAAAAGATCGTGAAATCAGGCACTTGCTAAATGCATTTGTTAAATGAATCACACAGTTCTTTTTTTTTTATTGGTTTTTAAGACAAACATAGACAAACAAAACATAAAAACACCAAGCCATCTTCCATATATATACATACAGTATGTCGGTTGATTTACAAATTGTTTTGTGCTTCCATTTCGTAGTCTTCAATTACAATTACATTCTATATATTCTCATATTTTCAATTAAATATTAAGTACATTAATATCATTGTTAATCAATCATTTGACTATACTTTTATTCATTCATGTTTTACGAAGTAATCCATATTTTACTTAATTTGTTTTATGACCGTTCATATTATCTCAAATCTATCCTACAATCATTTTAGATTAGATATAATCTAATATAATAGATATAGATTAGATATAATAAGAAAAGAATACATCTTTATATATTTATTATTTTCTAAAAATCTACACATTTCATTTCCATGTTTTATTGTCTAACCATTGATAGAATAGATCCCAAATTTTATAAAATTGTTTATCCTCTTGTTCTCTGATTTCAAATGTCAATCTACTCATTTAAGCACATTCCAATATTTTCTAAACGATTTCCTCTTGTGATGGTATTTTCTCATTTTTCCAGTTTTTGGCAAATACAATCACGCAGTTCTTAATTGAATCTGGCTACCCCTATTGAATTTGCTTGTCAAAGCCAGCTGGGAAGTCACAAATAGCAATCACATGATTGCTGTAACTGTCATGAATACATGCTGGCTGCCCATGGGTATGCTGCAACATAAGTGTGAGGACCAGTTGTAAGTCACTATTTTTCAGTGCCGCTGTAACTGTGAGTGGTTATTAAGTCGAGGACTCCCGGTAGAGCTTTAGTCCGGCAAGATTCTGTCTGTTGGACATAAGCAGATAAAGAACTGGACTCGATTGGCCGCCATTGGTCGCCTTTGGGCTTAGGCCTACCGTCAGGTGAGGCCATCTGGAGATGTCAGGATGCTGGGTCGCTTCCTCCTGTCCAGCAATACTAATGATGGCTGGTTCCCATCATTAAACCGCATGCCATTTGGTGTCTGCGTCTCTTGCTACCCTGTTTGGGATGTGAAGCTTAAAAGAGGGGCAGGAATCCCTAAAGTGCTGCCTGTTCTCTGCGTCACGCCTTACCTTTCGTATCCATCTCTCCATCCGTCTGTCCGTTCCTCATCCGTCCGTTTGTCCTCTCCCCCCTCTCCCTACCCCCCCCTCCCCCTTCTCCCGACAGCTCTGCTGCTCAGCAACCCGGCTTACCATCTCCTCCTGGCCACCTATGCCCAGCCAATGGGAAGGCCTGCTTTCCCGCCACCCAGCCAGGTTAAGCCAATCAACACCAATGGTAAGGAGGGCGCTGAGCTTGTGCGGTGCGGCTGGGAACCCCTGGGTGACCTGACTCCCTGCTCAGAACATCCTGCCTACTGCAGTTCCTCTCCCACCTGCCAGGGGGTGCTGTCTGTCTGTCTGTCTCCCTCTCTCCCTCTCTCTCTTCGCCATGTCTGTCCCTTGTTCATCTCCCTCTTGTTGACCCTGTGCATGGCTAATATCACCTTCTGCTTTGCAGGTTCTGCTATGTTGCCGCTTCTGGAGCAGGGGAGGGAGAACGGGGTTGGAACAGGATGTTATAGCTGGACTCCTTGTGTCCAAAGCAGAGCTCCGGCTGGCTCTGATGGCTGCTGGGTGCCTACGAGTTGAAGCACGTTAGGGGTTGGGCAAGTCCTCCCTGTTCCTTTCCCCACCTCTGAAGGTGATTCTTCTTTTGTCATTCTTTCTACTTCTGCAGCGTGTGGGATTGACTACATGCAACCAGAACTAGCTGCCAGCCAGCCAAGTTTCCAGAACAATGTGCCACATTACGCCGAAGCCGACATCATCAACCTGCAGGGAGTGACTGGCGGGAACACATATGCTGTCCCTGCTGTTGCGGTGGATGCCCTTGCCGGCAAGGACATGGCACTAGGCGAATTTCCCCGGGAACGGCTGATCTTCAAGGAGAAGCTGGGCGAAGGGCAGTTTGGAGAGGTAAGTCCAGTTCAGCGTGCGGTAGAAGTTGGACGATGCAAGTGGGAAAGTAAGACCCACATTTCCAGCGAGTCGTAAAGTAGTAAGAGGCATGAGGGCAGATGCCACCAATGCTTCAGATTTAATTGTGGCATCCCCTAACCCTCAGTTTGGAGTTATATTGCTTCTGTCCTGGTTGCCTCTCAGGCCCAAAATCATGAATGACATGTGGTGATTCTTCTGAGCGGAGTTCTTTATTGTTCCTATCTATAGACAAAATCTTGCCGAACTAAAGACTCTTGTATCTGCATCTATACTCTATTGTGAGCTATTAAGGAGACCCTCTTTCTCTCACGCATAATATCTGGGATGAGTGGCCTCTTACTTCTCTGGAATGCACTCCCTCCTTCCTGGGAATCTGCTCCTTACAGGTGGTCCTTGACTTACAACAGTTCATTTAGTGACCATTTGAAGTTACAGCGGCACCGAAAAAAGTGGCTTATGATCATTTTTCACACTTACAACCACACTTACATCACATGATTTACATTCGGATGCTTGAAAACTGGTTCATATTTATGACGGTTGCAGTGTCCTAGGGTCACTTGGCATCTTCCAGTTGCCAAGGTTGAGAGAAATAAGTCTGTAGAGATTCTCAGTTGTCCATGACGTGGTTGTCCCAAAGGTACTTTTTTCAGGAGGCAACTGGACTTCCTTGTTTTTTTCTTTGAAGACACTTCGCTTCTCATCCAAGAAGCTTCTTCAGTTCTAACCGGATGGTGGGGGATGGAAAGATTTATATTCCTTGCAGACAGCTGGTCATCTGCATCCTTCTAGAGCAAATGGTGGCTAAACTTTTGGGGCTCTTGTGCCAAAAATTGTGTGCGCGCTGCCTCCCAGAGACTTGAGAAAAGGCTCTGCAGCCTGAAAAATAGGCCCATTTTGCCTCTTCTGAACAAAATGGACAATACAGGAAGTGATGAGACAACACAGGAAGTGATGAGCCTCAAGCCTCTGAGAGGCCGAAAAAGGCCTCAAAAAATCAGCTGGGAGGCGCACGTACGCACAGTGAGGTAGGTTTTACCTGAGGCTCGCGTGTCGGCACAAATAGCTCTGAGTGCTACCTGTGGCCTGCGTGCCATAGGTTTGCCATCACGGTTCTAGAGGGTCTTTGAGGCCACTTGGAGGCTTATCTGTGTCCTCAGGATCACCTGAGTGGTGCTCCTGGTTTCTGTAAATCTGCATTTTTTTCCCCTCTGGAAATCCATTCCTACTCCCACACCAGTCAAAAGGGTGTTCATCCCAAATTGTATAGCTAAAAGTCTTGTAGAGATTCTCAGTCATCCAGGTCATGCCTTACTGCAGGGGTCTCCAACCTTGGCCACTTTAAGACTTGTGCAAAGCTGGCTGAGGAATTCTGGGAGTTGAAGTCCACAAGTCTTAAAGTGGCCAAGGTTGGAGACCCCTGCCTTACTGCATTCACTGTGTCCTTTATGATTCCTGGTTTCCTCTCTCTCTCCTGGAAAGGTCCACCTGTGTGAGGTGGAGAACCCTCAAGATCTGCCAAGCTTGGAGTTCCCTTTCAACGTGCGCAAGGGACGCCCTCTGCTGGTTGCTGTGAAGATTCTACGCTCGGATGCCACCAAGAACGCCAGGTGAGAGTGCCTGAGGATGGAAATAAAAAACAGGCATCGTTAAAGCTCAACCCAATTGGACACATTTTTTCCAAACCTGACCAAGAGTCGTGGTAGCACAATGGTTAGAAATGCAGTACTGCAGGCTACTTCTGCTGCCTGCCGGCTGCCTGCAATTTGGCAGTTCGAATTTCACCAGGCTGAAGGTTTGAACTCCATCCTTCTGAGGTCAATAAAATGAGGACCCAGATTGTTGGGGGCCCTCCTGCTTAGAGAGTAAGCGCTGTAAAGCACTGTGAAGCAGTATATAAGTCCAAGGGCTACTGCTATTCTTCAGCATCCTGGACACCTTTCTGATGCGTGTGGTTTTCAACACCAGAAATCGGAGCAATGGTCTGGACTGTTTTAAAAACCAGACCTTCTTAATCTGTTTGACCATTGCTAGGACTTCTGAACAGCAGAAAGATGTTCAGGTTCAGGAATGATAAGTTATGCCATGTGTTCCTAACCCAATTCACTCCATATAAACATTGACATAAATGTCCATAGTAGAATATTCTCAGCCTTAACGGACTTGGTATTTTATTTACCTGTTTTAAATGTTGTGTTAGCCCTAGTTTTTCCCATATGTCTCAGTGGGGTTTGTTTGTGACTGCTGACTTTTAGGAAGCAAAAACCCTCTCTGCATTAATTTGAGCTCCCTATTTATTTATTTGCTCAAGATTTCTCATTTAGGCATTACCTGGGAGGTAGTTTGAAAGGAGTATATTGCCACGAACTCTCAAAGGCAGAGTTCTATCAGATAATTCCCTAGGACTAACTTTTATACAAATCCCAAATTCAGCTTTTATTACTGTACTTCAATACAGGCAGTCCTCGCCTTATGACCATTTGTTTAGTGACTGTTTGAAGTTATGACTGCACTGAAAAAGCGACTTAACAACTGGTGCTCCCATTTCTGACTGTCACAGTGTCACAGTCAGTGTGACAGTCACATGATTGTGATTCAGGTGCTTGGCAACCAGCATGTATTTACAACAGTTGCAGTGTTGTAGTGTCATACAATCACCATTGGTGGCCTTCCTAGCTAGAGTCTTAACAAGCAAATGGGAGAAGATGGATTTGCTTAGCGACTGTGTTTTGCTAATGATTATAGCAAAAGTGTTGTACAATTGGACGCATCTCACTCAGTAACTACATTACTTAGGGATGGAAGTTCCCAATTGTGATCGTAAGTTCAGGACTGCCTGTATACTTATATATCAGGAAGTGCTAGGGATTGTCAGGAAGCTAGGAAATGAATGGAAGAAAATGCAGACATAAACAATAAGAGATAGCATAGGAGGAACCTGGTGACAGCTTATTTCACAAAAGGGTATGGAGAAATTGGGAGGAAGCATTTCAAAGCATTCAGACATATTCTGCCTTAATGTCACTATAAATGGAAGGAAAGGGAAGATGAGGACAATCGGCAGCAAAGACTTAGTTACAGTGCTACTGGAGGCATCATAACAACATCTGGATAACCAGTTTAGGGGCAGACCGTCAGAGAGAAAATCTATTTTTGTGGTGGCTAAGAGTTGACACCAATTTGATGGCACATAATCAATATGTTTACATTCATAGGGAGCCTGTATTGTACGTTGCAAATTGCCACAGTGCTTTGGTGGCAAAAATGAGGGGATTTTTGATGGTTGAGAAAAAATGGGAAAGAAGAGAATAGAATGGAGTGGAGTGGAGTGGAGTGGTGTGGTGTAGATTAGAATATAATTAGTATAGTAATAGTATAGTACAGTACATTATAGTATATAGAATAGATTAGAGTAGAATATAAATAGAATAGAAATAGGAATAGAATAGAATAGAGTAGAGTAGGGTAGAGTAGAGTAGAGTAGAGTAGAATAGAAATAGAATAGAAATAGGAATAGAGTAGAGTAGAGTAGAATATAAATAGAATATAAATAGAATAGAAGTAGAATAGAAATAGGAATAGAATAGAATAGATTAGAGTAGAAATAGAATAGAAATAGGAATAGAATAGAGTAGAGTAGAAATAGAATAGGAATAGAATAGAGTAGAGTAGAGTAGAGTAGAGTAGAGTAGAAATAGAATAAAAGTAGAATAGGAATAGAATAGAATAGAATAGAATAGAATAGAATAGAATAGAATAGAATAGAATAGAATAGAATTCTTTATTGGCCAAGTATGTTTGGACACACAGTGAATTTGTCTTGGTGCATATGCTCTCAGTGTACATAAAAGGAAAAGATGCATTTGTCAAGAATCATAAGGTACACACTTAATTATAGTCATAGGGTAGAAATAAGCAATCAAATCATACTAGGAAACAATATAAGTCATAGGATACAAGCAACTAGGTTACAGTCATATAGTCATAAGTGGGAGGAGATGGGTGATAGGAAGAATGGGAGGATCAATAGTAATAGTAATACAGACTTAGAAAGTAGTTTGACAGTGTTGAATAAATCCTTGGAGCCTAGGTTTCCTCTCTTGAGACCTGTCAACTATCTTTTTCCTCATCTCCCTGCCTATGTCTTTTGTTGTCCGCGCAGGAATGATTTTCTGAAGGAGGTGAAGATCATGTCTCGCCTGAAGGACCCTAACATTGTGAGGTTGCTGGGGGTGTGCGTGCGGGACGATCCACTGTGTATGATCACAGAGTACATGGAGAATGGGGACCTCAACCAGTTCCTGAGTGGACATGAGCTGGAAGACAAGCTGGGTGGCAGCCCCGGCGGGAGGCCAACCATCAGGTACCTATTCCAAATTTCTGAAATCAAAGTCCAGCAAGGAACCGGTGTAGATTTGGGAGGAAATATTGACAATCGAGTTCTGTAGACTCGGCATCACAATTGTCATATGCGAATGCCATCAAGGTATTCTTTTTTAGGTTAAACTATGCAGGGCAGAGAAATGAAGTGGGAAGTAGTAAGTCAAATATGAGAAGAACAGAATAGCAACACTGGCTTTAAATCGGTGTCGTTCACAGTATCTCTGCCTACTTTTCTTTCCTTCTAAAATTCATCCTTGTTTTGGCCTCATTCTTACACTGCTTCATACATTGCCGTGCGTTCGTTCACTTTCTGAGTTCTCTCTTTTTCAGGATCTCGTAAACCCCATTCAGTCTGTGAGTTTTTCAGCCTCTCTTTTCCTCTTGACACCCCCTCTTTCTTTGTATATTAAGGTTGTGATTTAATCCTCAGTCATTCTCCCTGTATAACCAAGCCATCTCAAAGCGTTGCTTTCAAACTGGACGCTCGCTTTTGTATTCAAATCTTCATTCAGTCACTCCCTATTTATTACAGTCTCACTGAACCACACACATTTTTAAGTACCCCATTTCAAATGTGTTCAGCAGGGGTGTTGAACTGGTGGCCCGCAGGCCGGATGGGTCATGCGCAGGCCACGCCTACCCTGGCTCCAGAAAAGCAAAAACCATCAACGATACATCACGATATGTCACGTGACACAATTGATTTTGACACCCGTGATCTAATCTCCCTGTAGTTTTCACATTCCTACTATTGCCTTAGCAGAGCAACAAAAATGACATCCTTCCAATTATTGGTCTTCACAGACTTGTTAAACAAATCACACACACAGCCATTCCATAAGCATACCAGATCCATTTTTAAAACATTCCTCCCGTCACATTGCTTTTCAGCATTCTTCCACCATTTAAGATTTCTATTCCATTATTTCCCCACCCTGCTCTGGATACTAACATTCATAACATACATTTCAATTTTCCCCTTAATGCATCAAATCCCGCCGAAATCTTTAAACCTCTTCCAGCATTTCCCCACTTCCGTTTCATTCTCAGTTATTTTATCATCTTAGGTTTAATCCCTTTTCATAAACTTCCCCAAAACCTTCCCCGCCCCCAGATTAATTTCAAAGCCTAAAGAGAGATTTGTGTCAGAAGGTTTTGGGTGATATTAATTCTCTTTTTGTCAAAATGGTCGCCAAGATGCCACAGAAAAGAATTACATAATTATTATTGAAGTGTTGGTTACAATTCCCAGTAGTATTAGATGTTACTATACTGCAAGCGTGTATAGTGATATCTAACAAGACTGGGAATTGTGACCAACACTTCCAACGATAATTATATAATTCTTTTCTGTGGCATCTTGGCGACCATTTTGAGAAAAAGGGGGTTAAGCACACCAAAAACTCACACAGAAAGGTAATAAATATGGCCAGCTGACTGTGCTGATGCCCTTCATCGCTAAAGAGCGCAGAAATGGCTGTCGGAGTCCATTTTTAAAAAGAAGCATTTGAAACTCAGCAAGATGGATTTGAGCTTGGAAATCCTGAAAAAAAGAATCCAGAGATGGAAGTGCCTGGTTCACTAGGAAAAAAGTTGAGACTGTGAGAGGATAATGTTTCATTGAATTTAGTGGGTCGTTAAGATCTTGAGATGGCTTCATTTGGATTCCCTTGTATTTTAGCTTGCTTGGTTTAAGTACCGAGCACTGTCCCATTGCCTGATGGGATTATCTTCTGTATAGGCGGTCCTTGACTTACAACGGCTCATTTAGTGACCAAAGTTACAACGGCACTTAAAAATTGACTGATGACCATTTTTTACACTTACGACGGTGGCAGTATCCCCATGGTCACGTGATCAAAATTCAGATCCTTGGCAACTGGTTCACATTTTTGACCGTTGCTGTGTCCTGAGGTTATGTGACTTTCTGACAAGCAAAGTTCAATGGGGAAGCCATGTTCATTTAACAACCATGTTTACTAACTTAAGAACTGCAGTGATTCACTTAACAACTGATAACAGATAATCAGAGTTGGAAGGGACCTTGTAGGTCATCTAGTCCAACCCCCCGCCCAAGCGGGAGACCCTACATCATTTCTGACAAATGGGAGTCCAATCTCTTCTTGAAGGTCTCAAGTGATGGCGCTCCCACAACTTCCGAAGGCAAAGCTGTTCCATTGGTTGATCGTTCTCACTGTCAGAAAGTTTCTCCTTATTTCCAGGTTAAATCTCTCCATGTTTAGTTTCCATCCATTATTCCTTGTTTGGCCTACAGGCGCTTTAGAAAATAGCTTGACTCCTTCTTCTGCGGCAAGAAAAGTCATAAAATGAAGCAAAACTCGCTTAACAAGTGCTTCACTTAGTAACATAACTCAAGGACTACCTGTATTTTCTCATGTAGGGAGGCAGAGAGTGAGATAGTGAAGCTTAGCCTGGCCGAAGCCATCTTGGAGCTTCAGCACTGCCCCGCTGGAGCTGAGGGATAGGAAGGGAGGGATTGGAGATAGCTGGGGTTGTGTAGTCAAAACAAAATATTTTCTCTTGGGAACCAAGGACGTTGTCACACCTGGCCGGACAAAGGAGGAATGATGTCACCAGGCAACCAGACGGTGTCTTGATTGGACCGTGTGACTGATTGTTTGGGGTTGAGGGAAAGTCTTTCACTTTTAATGAAATGAAAACCGAGGGACCCTTCAGAGTCGGTTTTCACCAGATCTGTGCCAATATGATATTTCCAATAAAGCTATTCTTTGAGGAACCTACCTGCCTTGGAGTTATTGCTTGCAATGGATCTATATGTCAACTCATAAAACATTTTGTATACATGTTTTATAGTTGTTAACAAAAAGAAGGGGGGGGGAGTTTCAAAGAGCAGGCGGCAGTGTGGAATCGAACGTACATTCCATTCATATTTTCTTCAAACGCTGATTAGATGACTGAAGCTTCTGCCACGCAAAAATCTAATTGGAGAGCGTGATTGGTGATTCTTGGCTATGGACGTGTTTTGTTGGATGATACACCCAAGGGTGGGGGGGGGAAGTAGGATCAAGGGTGACAGTGAATTATGTATCTCAGAGTCGGCTACGCCCAGGCTAATGCTGGCATGTTAACGTCTAATAAATCCTTCGAAGTTTTGGGAGTGTGGCTTGAGGTTCATGATTTAATTGGTGTAACTGCTGGAATTCTGACACTAGAACTTGGAACTCTGAGATATACATTTTGTTAATAAATATTCCTGCCATCTTTTTTTCCTCCCCCCCCCCCCCCCCAATTTCTCAGCTATCCCACTCTGGTCCACTTAGGGGCTCAGATAGCCTCCGGGATGGCATTTCTTGCCTCCCTCAATTTTGTGCACCGGGACTTGGCGACCCGAAACTGCCTGGTGGGTGAAGGCTTCACTATCAAGATCGCAGACTTCGGCATGAGCCGGAACCTCTACGCCGGAGATTATTACCGCATCCAGGGCCGAGCCGTGCTCCCGATCCGCTGGATGGCTTGGGAGTGCATTCTCATGGTGAGTGAGTGAAGTGACAAGCTTCAACCACAGGTAGTCCTCACTTAACGATTGTCCTGATTAGCAACAATTTGAAGTTACAATGGTGATGAAAAAAGGGACAGACCCAAAAATTTGAAAGAGGTTCATTAGGATTTTTTTTTAAAATTCCTTATGTTTATAACTTTGCTTTACAAAGGAACACTTAAGAGCAGAACCAAGAAAAGAAATAGATAAAGCTGAAGGACTGTTTTCTGAAATCAAGCACTGTCCTTTATTACAATAAAGGACATAGGGTCCCAGTAGGTATAAGAGGAAGAGGAAGAAAAACGTAATCAGACTTGCAATATTATAGTCTATCTTAATAAAGTTAATGTCAACTCATAAAATATTTCTATGGTCTTTTTAGAGTTGCTAATAGAAAGGGAGTGGGGGAAAGGGGTTTGAAAGAGCAGTGCGGCAGCTTGGAAATCGAAAGTGCATTCCATAAATAGTTTTTCAAAGATAGTAACTTGGTGCCTGAAGTTTCTGCTATGCAAATATCTAACTGGAGAACATGATTGATGACTCTTGGCTGTGGATGTGTCCCATTGGAGAATATGAATTCCGATACACCCAGGGGGTGGGGGAAAACCAGGGTGAAGGGTGACAATGAATTATGTGTCTCAGACTCGGCTACACCCAGGCAGTGCCGGGCATGTTAACTCCCAATAAATCCTTTGGAAGTTTGGCTCGAGACTCATGATTTAATTGGGGTAACTTCCGGAATCCTGACAGAGTCTTCCTGTGTCAAATTTGCTGCGTCACGTTGCTGTCATGTGACGTAGCGTGACGTTTGTTTCGTGGAGCTGAGGTGGGCATGGCCTGTGTGTGAGACGCATTCGGCCCATGGGCCGCTAGTTTGATATCCCTGCCGTAGAGTTAAGATCTGGTTGGGCCTTCCAGCAAAAAAAATAAAGCGGTACTTTCAGTCCCTAAGAGGGGTTGAGTGGCGGAGCCTGTTGCAATGCTTTTTACTTGGGATTTTATATTTTGGATTTGTTTTTCTGTCTTGCCCTGACTGGAGCCCTTCAAGGTTAAAGCATGTTCTAAAACTGGTTTAATAAATCCAGGAATGTTGTCTTTCTGTCCCCTCTCAGGGTAAGTTCACCATGGCCAGCGATGTTTGGGCATTTGGTGTTACGCTGTGGGAAATCCTCATGCTGTGCCAAGAACAGCCATACAGTCAGCTCACGGATGAAGCTGTAATCGAGAACGCTGGCGAGTTTTTTCGGCATCAGGGCAAACAGGTAAACAATATCTCCACTTAAACAACATGCCTATTATACAAAGTTTATATAATACATTAGACTAGGACTCACGCGAGTACGTGTACAGGCAGTCCTCGACTTATGACAAACATTGAGCCCAAAATTTGTTAAGTGAGTTTTGCCCCGTTTTATGACTTTTCTTGACACGTTCGTTAAGTGAATCACTGCAGTTCTTAAATGAGTAACCCAGTGAATCTGGCTTCCCCATTTGGACTTTGCTTGACAGAAGGTTTCAAAAGGGGATCACATGAGCCCAGGGCATTGCAACCATCATAAATGCAAGTTCATCCCAATGGAATTGGAAATACTGAAGAAAACCACAATGTGCACAGAAATTGATAAATTAAAAAAAGAACTAGAAAATAAGGAAAATTTGGATTATTATAAAACATGGGAGAAATTTTATGGTTGGCTAGAGATGAGGAAGATCAATGAGAATAAGGAATGATTATATGTACATTTAAAGTGTATAGAGGAGAATTATGTAATATTACTATTGGATTTAGCGAAGTAATGACAATGATCGATGTTAGGCAAACCGTACCATGTTCAACCTTTTTATTGTAAGAATTGTCCGTCTTTGTGTCTGTTTAATTGTTTAATAAAGAAAACTTTATAATAAAAAATAAAATAAATCCAAGTCAGTTGTCCAGCATCACAGGACCATGGAGATGCTGCAACGGTCATAAGTGTGAAAAACAGTCATAAGTCACTTTTTCCAGTGCTGTTGTAACTTTGAACGGTCACTAAGTGAACTGTTGTTAGTTGAGGGCACCACCAAGTCTTTTAAGAGTAAGCTCTGTTTTTAAGAAAATCCAGGGTCTATTTTGGGCCTGCTCACTTCAGGGCCAACTCACACCGTGTCATGCCCCTGTTGAACAGCTGACAGGGAGTAGGAGTGTGGCTCCCGTGGCTGTTGGAGGAAACTGGGGAAGGACAGAGGAAGACCCAGGCCTACCCCCTCTTGATCTTAGGGCACGCAGGGAAGAACGGATAAGGGAGCAATGTGGGTTACGGGGAGAAAAAGGCCCTGATTCCCTTCATTAGCTGCAGCTAGGAAAACAGGATTTAAAAAGGATGTTTGCACACAGCACCTTGCTGGAAGCAAAGCATGCATTATCTTGGTTTGTCAAGTCTTATCTGGGTTCTGGCACCCTCCCAACTGTGTGTGTTTTGTTATCTTTTGAATTCTACAATTCCTTATCCTGCCGTGTCTTGTTAATTGCTGCAGTGTGGGTTGTGTTGGTTTTTATTTATAATTTATATGTACTTTGGGGTCTGACTGAATTTCTTCCCTTTAAAAACTGTTCTTGGGAGAGTTTTTCTCCAGCCGCCGATAACTGGACATTGGGGGCCAAGTTGGAGGAATTAAAGGGACTTTACCTACTTTTGTGACTTTATTGCTTTTGTGCCACGCCCCGGGTCATCACACATCGTCTCTTTTCTTCCATCTCCAGGTCTATCTCAGCCGTCCGCCCACCTGTCCCTTGGCTGTCTATGAGATGATGTTGAGATGCTGGGCACGAGAGGCCAAGGACCGCCCATCCTTCCAACACCTGCACTGCTTCCTGGCTGAGGATGCCCTCAATATGGTGTGAACCAGACTAGCACCGGCCGTCTGACGCTGTGTTAAGACATTGGACAGCACCACAGAGACTGCTGGAGGCCGGAGGTGGCTCAGAGGCCCTCATGCGCCAGATCGTTTTTTTGTGGGACACCTGGTTGTTCCCTCTGGCCCAGCCTTTGCTCGTCCAAATCTCACTATTCACCTTCCAATATGTGGTTTTCTTTCTCCCCCTGTTTTCTTTTCGCCTGATCATCTCGAACCGACTTATTTCATCACACAATCTAAAATTGCTATTCTGAAATTCTTACCTGATGGTTTTTTTTCTTCACTCTGTTAACTCCTATTTCTCCTAGTCCTAAGCCAGTCTGTTTCTGCTTTAAACCAACGTGGTGCCTTCCTGCTGTGTGTAGAAACTACAATTCTCAGCTTTTTAATATTTATCAACCACAGGATAAGCAACCCGGGTCCCTCCGTGTGTCTGTCCCACATTCTGTCAATAACATTTGCAGCAAAGGACAGTTGTAAGTCCGAAACATCTGGAGAACATGATATTGTCTGTAGCCAGAGACCATATTGGCCAGAAAGTCTTAGTTCCAGTCTTAACACATCTGGGAGATACCCAAGCAAGGAAGCTGTTCTGTCAAACGTAGCCCTATTCATCCTGCTATAATTTGAACAAATATCTTATTACTCGTTCTGCCAGATGTTTCTTCTCTTGCATCGTAGCTCTTTCTTCTGTCCTTTGACCTCCAGGTTTTGAAGGTGAGCTAAGGAAGCAAGGTTAGTGGCTGAGGTATTTATTGAAGCCCTCTTTCTCTATTTTCCTTCCTTCGGCAGCAAACCAGGCATAGTATCATAATTCTGATTGGGCTAATCATGTCCTTCGCATCCATTCGATGCTAGCAGCAGCTCTGTGAGCAGGTTGATTGTAAATGCAAAAGATCTCATTCCTCAATTTCACAACCAGACCCATCCCTAGGTAGCCCTGGGTTTCAGCCCCTCATTGAGAACCTAAGGAGAGGATATTAATGTTGGCTTGCTTAGCAGGAGTCCGTAAGGACGGCTGCAGTGAAATTTGTACACGTTTTTGAACAGTCAAGCACAGTACAATATGTGTGTTGTGCCACTTTGAATGCTAACACTCCTTTTTTCCCCCATATCCTCCAATACTTTCACTCCAGGGAAATTGTGGGGGAGCACTCTTCCCCCCTATCCTTCACACGCTTCTTTAGCTTGCCAAATTAGATTTGGGGGATTTGAATGCTCTTTAATGGGGTCCTAATAGAAATATTACACTGGATGTAACTTTATAGGAGAAGTTGGGGTGGTTGTTCCACCCACTGTTGTAAGCTTCCCTCCCTCCCTCCCTCCCTCCCTCCCTTCCTCCCTCCCTCCCTCCCTTCCTTCCTTCCTTCAATATGATGTCAAACAGAACTGAACACATATCTTTTGTGGTTAAAGATTGGATTCATGCACAGCAACCTGTGTAACATGGCGTGCAAAGCTCTCTATGGATCCTACATAACAGCGATTGGTGTTGGTATGGGAGCTTGGATGAGAACATGGGAGTTGTCATCTATCAGAACTGGGAAGGCCTAATGTTAAGCAAGGGTATTCTGCACTGTAATTCATTAGCATTGTGGACTGGATTTCATTTTCCCTCTTGTGCGATGGAGGGTTATGTCATTAACCTTGGAGAACTCAGTAATGTTCCACTGTTTGTATGTGATGTCTTTCTCCAGAAAGTCTGTCTGTCTCTCTCTCTCTTTCTGTCTGTCTCTCTGTCTGTCTCTGTCTCTCTGTCACTGTCTCCCTCTGTCTCTCTCTGTTACTGTGTCTGTCTGTCTCTCTTTCTGTCTCTGTCTGTCTCTCTCTCCTTTTCTGTGAAAGGGGATACTTTGCTCCTTTGACAGACTCCATCTGAGGGGGCTGCATTTTCAGCTTTAGATTCATGGACTAACACTGGCAAAATAACTGGGACCATCTGGTCCAAGCGCACTGGGATTAATTAAGCACTGGATGTTTGGAGAAGCTGGAAGAAAGAAGTGGCTTCAAAGCTACTTCACGGATCCACGGTTGGCCAAGAGATACCTGGTCCTCACTGTTCTCAAAAGTGGACAAGAAAAAGAGGAAGGGACCGAGATTGGCCAGATCTGACGTGGCACTGACTGGACTTTGGGCTGAATGTGTTCATGGACTGAACCGAAAAAAGAATTGATGCTGGTTCCTTCTAAGGGCCAGTTTTGCCATTCCACATCCTCCAGATCATCCCAAAACGTGGGGACTTGGCCCTGTTCTTTGTACACTAGTTTGTTTTTCCTGCAGACTTGAGGTGACCTGATTGTAAATACTGTACTGTATAAAAGGGTGGTTGGAAAAATGCACTTTTCCAAACTAAAGAGAAGAGTCAGGAAATCAGTGTGTTGAGTTTTTGTTTTCTCCTGTGATTCCGTGATAAAGATGCCACTGGAAGTTAGCCACGTCATTCGGGCAAATGTCTAGCTGCCATCTGCGTTGGGTCACACAGGCAACTTCTGATAGGCAATCCATGCAATAAATACCTTGGTGAAAAGGAGACAAAAGGACAAAAAGACTTTCTTTTTAGCCTCCCAACACAATATTGTTTAATGTCTTAAGCAATAAATATATTTTGTTAACTAATTAATTCATCGAGCCTCTTTCAAAGCTGTAGAAAGTTGCAGAAATGGGAATTCCCAATGTCTTCAACATGTCCTAAAACAATTAGAGCTTTCTATGCTTTTGGAGGCATCCTTTATCAGAAAAAAAACCACTCCAAGATAAAACATAAGTAACAACAATTTGTTGAACCTGGTCCTTCAGAAGTTACCGCTGTGCAGTTCAGTCTTACATGTTTTTATTTAAGATTTGTAGGGTTCGTTGACAATTCAGATTGTATAAAATGCCCTATTTTGTTAAATTGGTTGCATCCAGTTTTATGCAATTGGAAGACATTCTAACACAAAACCAATGACAGGGTTCATGCACAGTAGTAACCCAGGCTTGTTTTAATCAAGGTTTGTTGGATTGTCTGGATGCCCATGTTGCAAGCTATCAACCATGACTTATAAGCCACAGTGGCTTGGTATGTAAAACACGTGTATTAAAAACAATCGGGGCTATTGTTTTATGATATTGTCAGAAATAAAGATTGTGTGGTGGTGTTCTTTAGAAGACATCTTGAATAGACTACCATATTTGGGCTGTAAAAATCTAGAGAACTGCTCGATGCAGCAAGCAGTAGCTTTCATGTACCTCTTTGCTTCCTCCTACTGTTCATCTGGATTTTTTTGCAGTCCAAAGATGATAGCCCTACTTGTGAAATCTGTGCAAAAGAGGGTGCAGTGTGATGCACTTCTGAATTTTAAATATCATGGATGAAACCAGAAGAGCTTTTCCATACGTAGAATGATTCCCTGGAATCAGCGTGCAAAGGGATGTATGCTACGGTTATATTTCTATTCTCTCAGGAGGAAATACCATAAAGCTGAATGTTTTTTTCCCCAAGAAATTGTACATATGATTGTAGCTTTAGTCATGACTAACTGTTGCTTGATGGGGGTAAGCTAATGTTCCGAGTATTTTCAATTGTTTGAAATTTACCCATCTTAATTATATGTATATTTCTGTTTGAAAATGTTTCAGTGGTACATTGTGCCTATAACTGCTTCATTCATCATCTCTCCATTTATCCTGTCAAATGCCTTTTTTGTGTTTTCCTGGGAATACTTGTAGCTGTTTGTTTCTTTATGTGTATCGGGATGTGTATATATTTGAAGAGCAGAAAAAAAAATAGATTTTTTTACATTAATATATAGAAGTTTGGGGGTTTGTTTTGTTTTTAGTTCCTTTCCATTTATGTGGTGAAATAAAACGCTTTGCATTTTGTACACTACCACAGTTGGTCTGTGAAAGTCAGCCTTGTCACTCACAGAATAGAGAATGAAATTGGACGGGATGATGTGCAAAAAATTAATCTATGAAAAGAACCCATATCAATTTGAATATAGCAGTATTAACATATACATTTAAGGGCTAGGAAATTTGAAAGTGTAGGTATACAACCAGTAGTCACTAAATGAATGGCCATTAAGCGAGGGCCACCTGTATAGCTATATGCTTAAATTTCCCAGCCCTTAAATAACGACCATTTACAGCACAAACCTGTTCATTTGATCACATCCACACAATTCCACACATACACACATCCTGCTCAGCTCCAGTATGATTTTATTAGATTTTGGCTTGGGGTAACCAGGGAGTTGTGGCTTGTTCAGCAAATTGCAGTTACAACCACCAATGTAACAACACTTTTGTATGACTATGCTGTATTCTCATTTTGGAGGTTTAAGGGGGTAATTTTCTTTCTTCCAGTAACTCTTCTTCTTTTGGACTTCCTATTTGAGCTTTGCAGTGGTGTTCTTCTGTGAGGCCCAAAACCAAGAATGCCATGTGGGCAATTCTTCCAAGGAGAGTTCTTTATTGTTTCACACCCATCGACAGAATCTTGCCAGACTGAGGACTCTTGTATCTGCATCTACAGTATCCTCGGGGAATTATTAGGGAGGGTCCATCTTCATCCTCTTTCTTCCACATAGGATAATCTGGGCTGGGTTGCCTCTTACTCCAACGGAATGCCTCCCTTCCCTCCTGGGGAACCTCCCCCCGCCCCAAGGCATGCCACCCCATCTCCTCTAATAAAAGCCAGTGCGCCCTCTGAGTAAGCAAACAAAGAATCCCAAAATAATAACAACAACAATGTAGACCTGGCCATCAAAACTATGTGATTATGGATGAAACGTGACAGTGATACCCATTGTCATTGGGGCACTTGGCACCATGTCCAAGAATTTAACAAAATACAGCAAGAAATTACAGCTTCCTGCAATGACACCAGCGGAACCGCGAAAAACTGCGCTACTCAGAACATCGTATATTTTAAGAAGATACTTGGTCGATACTTAGGATGCTGGCGGCAACCTGTATCAACCATCAGCACCAGTCAATGATATTTGTGATACATTTGTCAATGTGCAGTTGACTTGAGTTAATAATAATAATAATAATAATAATAATAATAATAATAATATAAAACTACTGTGGGACTTCCGAATACAGACATAAAGTTTTGGAACACAATACTCCAGATATCACGATTGTGGAGAAGAAAAAAGTGTGGATCATCGACATTGCCATCCCTGCTGACAGCAGAATTGACAAGAAACAACTTGAAAAAATCACCAGATATCAGGACTTGAAAATCGAACTGCAGAGACTGGCATAAACCAGTGCAGGCGGTTCCAGTGGTACTCGGTACACACTGGGTGCTGTGCCTAAAGACCTAGGCAAGCACTTAAAAACAATTGGCGCTGACAAAATCACCATTGGTCAGCTGCAGAAGGCCACCTTACTGGGATCTGCTCGCATAATCCGCCGATACATCACACAGTCCTAAACGCTTGGGAAGTGTTCGACTAGTGATTTGTGATACGAAACCCAGCATAGTTATCTCGTTTGCTGTGTACACTGTCACTTTTTGTGAACAACAACAACAACAACAACAACAACAATAATAATGATAATAATAATGATAATAATAATAATAGAATGACTATGGCAAAGGCAAGCAAGGGTAGTACCAATAATAATAGGCGTCTTGGGTACAGTCCCAAAACAACTGGAACACCATTTGAACACCATAGGCATTGACAAATTTGCCATCAGTCAATTGCAGAAGGCAGCTTTACTTGGAACAGCTTCCATCCTGTGGCGATATCGGTAACACCATCAAACATCCAGATTTGCCTGTCCCAGGTTCTTGGGAAGGACTCGATAGGTAGACAAAAATGCCAAACCCAGTCTGAACATCTGGCTGACTGTGATAAATAATAATAATACTTTTACTGAAATGAAGATGGACTTTGCGTATGTGTAAAGTACATTTCACACACATGTAAACGGATAACGGGTGTGCTGTTGGAAGATCTGAAAATCCAAGTTGGGAACAGCTCGGAGAGGATCTACCTGTGTAGTCAACGAGAACTGATTTGGTGTCCTGTCAGTCTCAGTCACCTATTACTGATGCTGAAATAAGACCTGTGATTGGGTGAATTGCTCTGATGTCAGAGAATGCTGATGAATATCCGGGAGACAATTGTTAGGGTTCATCAGCAAAGAATGTTTACAAACACTCTTGCTACTTTAAGGGCAAGTGAAAAGCTAAGTCTGCAGGCTGCAGGAGATAATGGGTTACTGGGTTATTGGTAGGGATAGTCCACAGATATGGGTAGTCTTCAGCTGATGGCCACTGCTGGACCCAAAATTGCTGTTGCTAAGCAAGACGGTGGTTAAGTGAATTTTGCTCCATTTTATAACCTTGCCATAGCTGTTAAAAGTGAATCACTGCAGTTGTTAACAACTTAGTCACACGGTTGTTAAAGTGAATCCAGCTTTGACTTTGCTGGTCAAAATGTCGCAGGTGATTACATGATCCCAGGACACTGCAACAATAATAAATATGAGCCAGTTGCTAAACATCAAGTTTTTTTTTTCCCATGTCACCATGGGGACACTGTAATCACTGTAAACCAGCGTGAAAAATGGTCATGTCACTTATTTTCCGGCGCTGTTGTAACTGGTCACTAAACAAACTTGTAAGTCTACAAGGACTACCTGTACTTGAAAGGATGGGGATCCTGCAAACCAATCACATTTTGGTGGTCCACAGAGAAATGTCACTCCCAAAGCATCCCCCGAAGCAATTAATCCAGGCTGCGCAGGAACACAAGGCTGCGCTACCCACATGGTCCACAGGAACACAAGGTTTAAGTTGCTTGCATTGCAAACCACATGAGGTAGTGAGGGGAGGGGGGAAAGGGAGGAGGGGGGAACTCACCCCACGCGCCTCACCTGGCCACCGGGTTGCTTCTTTCTGCTTCTTTCTTCTTTTGCTTTTGGCTGCATGCAAGGAAAGCAGCAAAAGTCTTTCTTTCTCTCCCCAAACTCCACCAGAAATGAGTCTTTGGGACCCTTCAAAGCATCCTGCTCCATTTCTGGCAGAGTTTGGAGGAGAGAAAGAAAGACTTCTGCTGCTTCTGCTGCTTTCCTTGCATGAAGCCAAAAGTCTCTCTCTCTCTCTCTCTCCTCCCCCTCCCCCTCCCCCCAAGAACAGAGCTGGAGATGGTATCCTGCGATCTCAATAAAGAATGATCAATTGGTAGGAAAACAGGGTGGAGAATTTTCCTGCATACTTTTTGGGGGATTTTCCTAGGGTCTCTGGTCTGCGGGATTTAAAATTATAAGTTTGGTGGTCCCCGAGGTCCAAAAGGTTGGTGACCCCTGTCCTACACCATTTCAGACAAGTGGCTGTCCAGTCTCTTCTTAAAAACCTCCAGTGATGAAGCACCTACAACTTCTGAAGGCAAGCAGTTCCACTGGTTAATTGTTCTCACTGTTAGGAAGTTTCTCCTGAATTCTAGATTCCTTCTCTCCTTGATTAGTTTCCATCCATGGTTTCTTGTTCTGCCCTCTAGTGCTTTGGAAAATAACTAGACCCCCCTCTTCTTTGTGGCAGCCCCTCAAATACTGGAAGACTGCTATCATGTCACCCCTAGTCCTTCTTTTCTCTAGATTAGCCATATAGCCTAAATCAGTAGTGGCTAACCTTTCGGGGCTCACGTGAAGAAAATTCTGCACGTCCCTTGCTCATGCGCACACGCCTCCTGCGCACCCCTGCTTCCTATGTATGCACGCCAGATACCCGACAATCAGCTGACAGGAGGGCAGCGTGCATGCATGCGCAGTGGGGCTCTTTCAGGAGACCTCTCGCGTCCCGGCAGAAGTGGCTCTGCGTGCCATAGGTTGTGGCATGCATGCCATGGGTTTGCCATCACAGCGCTAAATCCTGCAACCGTTCTTCATATGTTTTAATCTCCAGGCCTTTAATCATTTTTGTTGCTCTTCTTTGCACTTTTTTCAAAGTCTCAACATCTATTTTTTTATTTTTTTTTAGACATGTTGTCAAATCCTTTTCTTCTGAGCCTTCACACCTGAGCCTTCACAACCTCCCTGGGCTGTTTCCTCCTCCTGCACCACCAGCTGCCACAATCTTTTGATCCACCCATTCCTGTCCTGTGCTGGCACCATTACTGGCCTTTCTGTCCAGCTCTTTCACCAATCCCTCCCTCCCAACCTGGATGCAGTAGTGTTAACGCAGTGGTGTGGAAAAAAAATGCTGATTCAGCTTTGCTAGCATGCTGATGGTTTGCAGAGGTGGAAAAATGCTGCATTATCATTGCTACACAGAGCTCAGTTCCTGCAAATCTTCAGTTCCTGGGCTTTTTCCCTCCCCTTGAAGCTGAGTGCCAAGAAGAAGGAAGAGAAGTCAGGAAAGAAGTCTACAATGGAGATTTTTCCATTAGGAAAAGTGGGGGAGAGCCATCCAAACTAAAGGAGAGCAATTCAACCCAAGGGTAAGAAAATGACTTACCTCAGCTGATTCTTTACCTCAGAAGCCAGGAGGTGGGGAAGGGGAAGAATATCTGAAATTTCCTAGGAAAGTATGAGGTTCTAAACATACTTAACGGGAAGTGAATCTATTGAATTCTGTGGGTTTTGCTTGCTCCTGAGTCAACTGGACTCAAACAGCTTTGCTCTTCCCATGCAAAATAGACTCAAATGGAAATAACTGAATAAAAAGTTGTGATAGAAATATACTTTAAAGTGGTCCATGAGTTATATATATATAATATTTTCACTAAATTTATTGCATTAGGTGAGAAATTATTTATTACTCTGGTGATTTTTGGAATGAGTTCTGATCTCTTGTTAATCTTGCTCCTGGTGGGTTTTCTATACAATTCCCACCCCCCAAAAGAGTCTAATTTCAATTAAAATCCTTCCTGGAAAATTGTGTTTTATTAGCAAGTGACTTTAGGGTTTAGTAGAAGGTGGCAGAATTCTCTGCAGTGGCTCAAAATCCTGGTTTGAATCAATCTCAAATCCTAATCCAGTGAGATGTAAATTTCTCTTTCCTCCGTGGCTGAAAAGTGTTGTCCAGATTTAAGATATCTTGATAGAAAGTATACAAAGGACTACCCAGGCTCTGAATATGCTGGATTAAATACTTAAATCTTTCTTAACATTGGTTCCATTTGTTGGAAGTTAAAACCCACCCCTCTCCTAGAAAAACGAAATATTTTAGGATATATTAAAAAGACAGAATGTTTTCCCTAAAAGAGAAGTAGAAACTCAGAGAGGCAGAAACGCACCCCCCGCACCTTTGTTAATGGGCCATTAAGGCCTGAGCCAGTCTATTCTACATAACAAAGTTCTACCTCCTTCAGGCAGAGCCATTTAATTGCCCTTCATTGCGCCACCCACCAAGTTTCAACCAAACTTAGCACACAGACAACCTACAAAGCTAGCTATGACCTCTGACAGCAACCAATCAGGATACTCTTCCTGTGCCCCAGGAAGTTCGAAGCCCAGAGAGGGCATAAAACCCAGGGGCTCTCAGCATCTCGTCCCTTTTCTTCGCCCAGGAACTCCAAGGCAGGTGATCCTGTCCACCATTAAACCATCTTTCCAAACAGCCTCCATGTTTCCAGTGTCCCCACTTGGAACTGAACCCAGAAGGATATTTCTTTCAACACGTGCTAGCAATTTATTTATTATTGGTTCCAGGTCTCGGGATTCTGTGGCTGATATAGAAAAACATGGGAACAGGAAGTTTGATTTCTTCTAAAGCAAGTTTTCTGAAAGGTTAGACTTGGGTGAATTGGAGGAACTCAGCATTCCAGGAAACAAAAGTAATAAAAGTTCTGCTTTCAATTTCTAAAAGGAGAATTCGCGATTATGCTCAGGGGTGGTACTCAGCAGGTTCTGAACAATTCTGGAGAACCGGTAGCAGAAATTTTGAGTAATTAGGAGAACCGGCAAATGCTACCTCTGACAGGAGATTTTACAGTATCCTTCCTCTGCCACGCTCACAGAACCAATAGTAAAAAATTTTAAATCCCACCACTGATTATGTTCCACTTCAATCTCTAAACTGGCATTTGAGGACTTGGGAGTACAGAAGATGCGATTCAGCATTTTTTGTAGCCTGAAGAACTCGAGTGCAATCTGACTAGCATAATTTCACTGCTTCTCAGTATCTGCTAGATGTCTGTTTGATTAATTTCAGCTCCCTCCCTTGTCTTCAGGAGCAGAAAGCAGCTTATGTGGAGATTTCCTTTTATTTTATTCTTTATTTTGTGAGGTGGGCCAGATTGGAAGTGAACAACCGGCTGGCCACCTAATGATCCGTACTAGTAGTCCTGGATTGATGACTACAGTGGAGCCCAAAATTTCTGCTGCTGAGCAAAATAGGTGTTAAATGAGTTTTGCCCCATCTTACGACCTTTCTTGACACCGTTGTTAAGTGAATCCCTGCAGTTGTTCAGTTGTTAACGGGAATCTGGCTTCCTCATTGACTTTGCTAGTCAGCTAGTTGCAAAAGAGGGAATCACATGACTCCGGGACGCTGCAACCATCATAGATACATGCCTGTTGCCAAGCCTCTGAATCAGTGGGATTCAATTTTTTTTACTACCGGTTCTGTGAGTGTGGCTTGGTGGCCATGGCATTCCCCCCCACCCCCGCTCTAACCTTCTTTCCAGTCCCCTTCTCCTGTGCAGGGCAACCAAAGAAGACCCAGCCAATCAGCTGGGACTCAATGGGAGGCAGAGAATAGATGGGGGCGGGGCCAGTCAGAGGTGGGATTTGCCGGTTCTCCGAACTACTCAAAATTTCCGCTACCAGTTCTCCAGAACTGGTCCGAACCTGCTGAATACCACCTCTGCTCTGAATTTTGATCACGTGACCCTGGGGATGCTGCAATAGTTGTGTAAAAAAGGGTCATAAGCAAGGGTGTCAAACTCAATTTCATTGAGGGCCACATCCAGGTTGTATTTGACCTCGGGGTGGGGGGGCAGGGAGGGCATGGCTGGGGGGGACGTGGCCATCTCGATGTCACTCGTGTCAGGGGCACCTGTGGTGGCTCAAGTGCTCTCTGCCAACGAAAACAGGCTCCCGAGCTCCATTTTCAGCTGTGACGACTTCCTGCCACCCTCTGATGCTGAGTTCTGGATACGCATTATCTCAATGCACTTCCAGTAAAACCGGGACTTTCTCAACAGATGAAGTCATGGGTGTTTTTTATTTAGAGGTTTAAGTGGTGGCAGATGACACATTTGAGGGGTTTCCCCTCCCTGCAACGGCCTCTGAGAATCACTTTGAGGAAGAGGAGGAAGCGACCGCAGCCCAGGCAACGGTGAGATAAGAAAATTTCCGTGTCCAAAACAGGAATGCAATTCGAGAAAATGTCTCAGGGTTTATCCTTCCTGGTTCACGTTAGGATAAAGGCAAGAAGCGCCTGCAGGCTCTGTTTCTGTAACCTTGTAAGAAAAGTAGTTTTAGTACCCGTGACTTTGGTGTCCAAGTCTGATCTATCTGGGATGGCAGGCACCCCTTTGCCTCAGTCTCCCAGTACTTGAGGGGCTATCACAGAGAAGGGAGGGTTTGACTTATTCTCCAGAGCAGGACTAAAAAGTAACAGATGGGAACTTGTCAAAGAGAGATCCAACCTAGAATTAAGGAAAAAAATCCAGACAGTGAGAACAACTAGCCAAGTGAAATGCTTGCCTCTCCAAAAGTTGTGGGTGCTCCATCGCTAGAGGTTTTAAAGAAGAAGCCATTTGTCTGGAAAGGTATAGGGTCTTCTGCTTGGGAAGAGGGTTGGACTAGAAGACCTCCAAGGTCCCTTCCAACTAGGGTTCGGTTCAAAAATTTTTAGCAAAGGGTTCTCTGCCCATTGCTGGGTGGGCGTGGCCATAGTGGCATGGCCTAGTCGGCCTCCTGCACCATGGGGGGGGGACATTTTAGCTCTCCCCGGGCTCAGGAGGCTTTCCGCGAGCCTCCAGGAGGGCAAAAATGGCCTCCCGGGGCTCCGGAGGCTCTCTGGAAACTGGAAACGGGCCAATTTCTGGCCTTCCCGAACTTCCAGGAGGCCTGTTTTTTGCCTTCCTGGAGCCTCTGGGCATGCCCTGCACTTACCTGCATCCAAAATGGACCTCATGGGGACTCTTGGGAGGGGAGGGTTGGGCAGGGCCAGCCAAGAGTGGATTTGGGAGTTCTCTGAACTGCACAAATCGTAGCTAAGGACTCTCCGAACCCGCCCCGCGGACATCCGGCAGCCCAACCCTGCTTCCAACCCTGTTACTCTATGTTCCACGTTCCTTCAACAGGCAGAAATAGAGGCAGGGAAACCTGTTCAGGTTCTCTTGGAATCAACCAACATGGCGTCAGTACGAGAAGTGTCCAGTTTCACTGAAGACCTGCTGTGCCCCATTTGCCTCTCCTTCTTTCGGGAGCCCCACATGCTGGAGTGTGGCCACAGTTTCTGCGCTCCCTGCCTGGAGCCCTGCATCCCCAAAGGACAAAGACGGGGGCTCTGCCCCGAGTGCCGGCGCCCCTTCGCTTTGCGCCGCATGACGATCAACCGAGCCCTCTGCAGCCTGGCTGAGAAAGCCCGGCTTCTGAAGCTGGACGAAGGGACGCAGCTGAGCAGCACCGGAGGATGGTACTTCTGTGAGGAACACGAGGAGCCTCTTAAGCTCTTCTGCAGCCAAGATGAGGAGTCCGTTTGCGTCATCTGCCGGGACTTGCCTCAGCACCGGGGACACGACTTCCTGCCCATCAAAAACGCGGTTCAGACCTATCAGGTGAGAACTACACCTGGGAGGAGTAAGAAGGTGGCCTCTGGTTGAACAAGAGTGAGTGAGTCAGTCTCTCTCTCATTCTATCGTCTGTCTGTAGGTTTCCCCTCCCTCCCTCCCTCCCTCTCTGTCTGTCTGTCTGTCTGTCTATCTATCTATCTATCTATCTATCTATCTATCTATCTATCTATCTATCATCTATCTGTCATCATCATCTACCTTCTATTTTCTTCATATGTCTGTCTGTCTCTCCTTCTCCTTATCCATCCATCCATCCATCCATCTATCATCTATCTATCTATCTATCTATCTATCTATCTATCTATCTATCTATCTATTTTCTATCTTCTCCATATGTCTGTCTCTCCTTCTCCTTCTCCTTCCTTCCTTCCTTCCATCCATCATCTGTCTGTCTGTCTGTCTGTCTGTCTGTGTCTCTCCCTCCTTGTGAAATTTATTTGCCTCTTATCTTGCCATGGGGGTATTCTAGGTGGCTTATGTTGCAAGTCAAGATAAACTACAAGTAGAGTTCACAGTAGAGACACTGAAACGTAAGAGCTTTCAAAGCCTCCCAAATATTTTCCAGGAAGTGTGAATAGATTTCTACTCTGAAAGGCACGAAGAAACATGACAACTAAATCCGTCTCTCACCTACATTGGGAATTCATCTTCCCACTTTCTGAAGGGAGGATACACTATCTGACCACTAGGTGGTGGCGAAGGATAAGAGGTTTTTTTTTAAAAAAAATAAATCCTTGGTTGTTTCCCTTGGAGTCTCCAGTCATCTGGATCTGTGTGGTTGCTATTGGTGAGGGGAGTTGAGGAACGAGTTTAATTGTGGGACTTGGTTTGGGACTGATAAACCAGCTTAGGGACGTTATATGAGCAGTAGGACCATGGGAAAGGAGCTAAAAAGTATAAAAAGAAAACCTGCACAAAACCATACACTTAAAAAAGCTGAAAGATATACATAAAAAGCAAAAGTCTGAACAAGGTTTATCAGCAAAAAGAAATACCTTAAATAAACGCAGGGGAACACCACAAATTAATAGATTGGTAACTAAATCTATCACAGTTCAAAACATTCTTAACTATTGTAACAAATTAAATGCTAATCAGGGCTGGTTGTGGGACAGAGGTCTGTCTGATGGATTTTAAGTGTTGCTGAGCAGAACCTTTGGCTGGAGGTATACAGTTGTCCTGTGATCAGTCAAATGCTGGTGTCCATTTTAAGTGAGATCTGAACTTTCTCTTCCTTTTAGGACCAACTGAAGGCCTCTCTGGAGCCTCTTGAGGAAGGTCTCAGGCGGTTGAAAAGAAGCCAGTGCCACCAGCAGGAGAACATTATTGAATTAAAGGTGCAACTGGGAAGCGGTGGGGGGGGGTGACTTCCTGTTTAATGCTAAACCGAGTGTATCTTCTCTCTCTTCATCCCAGCAACTGTTGCTTCCGATGCTACCATTTGCGGCTCATTCATTTAATATCAGGTGTTTCATAGCCAGTATTTAATCCAGGCTCCTGCAATTTAGCCTAAGGAAAAGAAAAGCTACCTGCTTAGTTTGATTTGCATTCAGATCAACAATAAATAAATAAATATGCTGTAGTGTGGCATTCAAATCACCAAAGTTGTCAGCCATTTTTCAGGATGTTCCATTCTGTTCCCTCTTCCCCTGGGATTCTCCATGTAGTTTTAAACATTTAGAAGCATTATGGTGGTCTAAGCTACCACAAAAGACACTCTTAACAATTAGAACTTGGTGTTTACTGATAGAAAGGAATATTTGTACCTCAAGGTTGTACAGTGGGCTCCTTGATGCTTTCTGAGCTTGGTTGTTCGCTTGCAGATGTTTCGCTACTCAACTAGGTAACATCATCCATTCTAGAAGGGAGTGGGTTTGCACTCCATTCTAGTACTGATGATATTACCTAGTTTGGTAATGAAACATCTACAAAAAACAACAACAATCAAACTCAGAGAACATCAAGGACTCCACAGAACTTTGTGTGTGTGTGTGTGTGTACATAAATGGAACTTTGTGTGAATGTATGTACATCTGTGTGTATATGTGTGCTGTCACTACATTATAATAAAAAGGCAAAAGATTTAAACTGCTGGTGTTGCTTAGGTAATCATAGTGGCATCGATTGATTGATTATGAGTTACCTGACAGTGAAAAGGGTGGCATATAAATTTAATAAATAAGTAAAATAAATTATATGCCATCAAGTAGTTTTCAACTGCTAGCAAAACAGAGTTTCTCCATGACGATTTATCCCTAATCTGGTTTTTCAGGTCTTCCAATGGTGCCTCCGTTGTCTACCATCTTTGCTCTTGTTCTCCCTCATTGTCTATTTCTTTCCATCTTTCCTAGTACTTTCCTTAAGAAAGTTAGGTCTTAACATCACTTGCCCGAACTAGGATGGTTTGAGTCGATTTGTTTAATGGTCCATGGGATTTTTCCCCATGACTCTAAGGTATTCTCAGGAGTCTATAACCAACCCCATTGTGAAAGGTGATCATTTCTGTTTGACCGAACCGCAATCTTTTGCTATGTCCCATCTATGTTTTCCCAGACCTGCTCCGAATCCTTGTCTGATCATGTCTCTGGAGAGTTTGTGAAGATGCACCAGCTGCTGAACGACAGAGAGTTGGGTATAAAACAGGCCTTAGAAAACCAGAGAGAAAAGAACTTGGCACAGATGGAAACCAAGTTAAAGGAACTGGACTGGAAGATGGCTTCACGTTCAGAAACACTGTGTCGTATACAGGCCAGCCTTGAATGCAAAGACCACATCAGTTTCCTTAAGGTAAGGAGGACTGGGGGCTTTGTGGGCTTTTCTTGGGAAGAAGAAAATTGCTGGGTATATAGATTTCACCGAACAATTGTCAGAAGAATAATTTGGGGTTCCAACTCGAGCCAGGGTTGCACAAGAATAAATAAAAAAATGAGGAAAGAAGAAATATTTATTCCTAAAATCAAAACAGTTTGCTTTTATGAGCAGGCTACAGAGAAACAGGGTACAGTGGCAAACTTTTATAGAGGGAGCTTGTCTGGGATGTGGAAGTGTTTACGTGCTGAGGATTGTGTGTGAGTGTTTGTGAACATACAGTTCTGCTGGGAGACTTAATTTAAGTAACTCTATTTCTATTTGCAGATCTTATCCTTTGATATGTGGATTAGGCCTGGGTAACTTATTTAGGGGTTTGAGGAAGATTGCTAATTTGCTCAAGTTGGAGACACTGATTCTCATTGTGGATCCTGTTAATATTTTAAGGGAAGATAAAAACAGTATAAAGAATAAAATATATTTGGATATAAAACTTCTCACCCCATGATTTGTTCAATTAGGGTTTCTCACGACTGACAAAATCTCTGTGTTTCTTTTAAATCTTTGTAAGCCACCTGGAATCCCTGAGTCAGTTGGGCGGCCAAATCAATTTTCTTAAACAAATAAAAGAAGTAGGGCCGATTTCCTGTAACAATTGCTAGATTCCATAGTGTTTGTTCCTACAAAAGAGAGATCGATCAGTAGTTCCACCTTCATGGCCTCAGGTTTTCAGTGGCATCTCAAGCACTCTGACTCTATAGTCCTCAATTTTTGTTTCTTCTATATATGTTGTGATAGCATTTCACTGGGATTTTTTTCCCTGATAATAAACTAGGACGTGATCTGCTGAGATCAGAATCTATTGTGCACCATCCAAATGCAGAAGGCCTTGGCAGGAAAGTGGGTGATAACCCATGGAAAGAATTATTTTGACTTTTGTCTCTTCCTTCCTTCCTTCCTTCCTTCCTTCCTTCCTTCCTTCCTTCCTTC